CCCAGAATTCCCCAGCCAGCATGCTGGCTGGGGACTTCTGGGAGTTGAAGTCCACACATCTCAAAGTTGTCAAGGTTGAGAAACACTGAGGTATTTGTAAGGTTATAGCTCCTTGGCTATAACGCCAGGCAGCTGGGGACTCATTTTAGTTCTCTTTGCCTCTTTGCATCAGAAAGACAAAAAATAACACTGCTTTAGAATTTCCATGTGAAATTTGGGTGAGTGGGTGGGAGGAACATGGAAAGAAAGCAGGTAAGGTGGGTGGCATTCTCTTCATTTTCTCTGTGATGGTACCAACTTCAATTAGCTCAACACTGGGTTTTTTTTCCCCCTCCCAAGAAGTTAAAAAAAAAGAAAGTGGCAGGAAGTGATCCTCTCCCAGCCACCTTTGAAGGAGCCAGGGACAGCCCAAAATATACACAGTATTTAACCAGAACATCCACGATAGTGTGCCATCAACAGATGGACATTATAGCATGAGACTGGGTCAGCTGTATAATCCAAACACCACTATTACACTTCCACATGATAAACTATAACTCTTCTTGAAGATGCCATGATGCTTCATGACGGTGCTTCAGATCCCTTTTTCCTTATCACACTATTTTAGAAAAACCAGAAAGTGGCTGGGAGCACTTTTGCAGACCAACCAAGGTCATTAAATGCCTTTTAATAGTTCTTGAATGAATGAAGCCATTAAAAAGGCATTTCAATAAAATCTGTTAGTCTGAAAAGGTGCTACCAGACTCTGATTTTCAGCTACCATAGTCTAACATGGCTTTCCTCCTATCAGGTATGCTGTTTTACAAAGAGTCAGATGTGGGAGGCCTCAAAACAAATCCGATTCCAGCTGAATGCTCTTTTCCATTTCATTTCATGGAAAGCTGCAAATGCTATTAGTAAACAAGCAATATTGCTACCCACACTGTTGTTAAAGAATACAGCAACCCGCTTTGGCAGAGCGATGTCTGAAAGAACTAGAAAAATGAACTGCCTGGGCTCCAATGAGAAGTACTAAGCAATGGAAATGGGGTAAGAAGACGCTATTGTGCCAGTTTGCTCCCAGGGCACCAATTCTTTCACCCTAGATTAATTCCACATTATGCACCATTACTCTCAGGTTACTCAAGCAAAACTTGTGCCAATAAACCATAATTAAATTCTCCTGGTATCCAAGACACAACAGACTGACTAAATGAGCCAATTTACATATAGATTACCTTACTACCATTAACTGTGAAGATTTTTTTTTAAATCAGGAGCTAAGACTTTATGTCAGTGGCTTTTCAAATTTTCTGAAGAAATGCTACGCGCTACAGGGCCCAGAACTTGAATCTGACCTACAAGCAAATGCTGCTGACAATATTTTACCTCCTCAGCTGGAGCAGTCTTTCTGATTTAAGCCAGGATTGAGAATTCCTTGGTTTCTGATTAGCACCAACAAAAACAATGAAGGGTGAAAACATATTTGTACATTTCAGCAAAATTTATGGTGTTTAATTCATTGCACCAGAGTTGATATTCTTGAGCAGCTGGCAGAATTGAGCACTCCAGCAGGGCTGATCCCTGTCTTTTGGCTACCCATAATATGAAAAACGTGGTTTTCCTTACTGAAAGTATTTTTATCACCTGTCTGAAAACTCCCAAGGTAGAGAATAAAACTCAAACCATAATCATAGCAAAACATGATAAAGCATGATAAGCATGATAAGCATAAAATTTATGAAAACGACTAGGAAAATTTCTTAAACAATTTTAAAGGTTAAATGAAAAAGATGTATTTTGATGCCCTTTCTGAAAACAGAGTGGGGAACAACTGCAGCCCAAAAGGGATCACGTCCCATGATTTAAACACAGAGGAGAAGACCTTTTCCCATGTGTCTGTGCCAAGTATGCCCCTGAAAGGGCAACATACTTAAAGGATTCTCTCCTCCAGATCTTAAAACTGTGAAGTTCATGATCAGACCTCTGACAAATGGCCTCTAAATTAAACTGCCATCTAGATTAAAAATTAAAACCAAGAATTTGAAACATCAGTAACTATGAATGCTCTCCTCTTCCATGCATGAGTTATTTCTGACACCATCAAAGTAATTAGCTATTAAGCACATTTAGGGAAGCAACTTCCGTTGTGTAACTACACACATAGGGTGTAGTTCTCTTGGTTTATCAATGGCACCCAGCATTATTTCATAAACTGACTCTTGGTTTAAGTATTGTGAGAAAAGAAGAAGGGGAAAATCCTTTCTATCTCTTTTCTCCACACATATAAAGTTTTGTAACTCTTATCATAACTCCTCTCGTTCATTTTCCCCCTAAACTGAAAAGCCTAAAATGTCCAATATCAGTCTTTTCTTCAAAGGGTTATCCTTTCCATGGATAGCTGGAAGGGACCATTTACTCTATGGAGTCCAAAGCCTTGATCAGTGCAGGAATCCAAATTAAAACATCCCCTATAAATGGCTATGTAATTTGTGCTTGAATGCATTCAGTAAAGGGGAACCCACCAGCTCTTGAGTAATTGGTTTTACTGTCATTTTCATTCCTTTCCTAATGAACCCTGACACGGAATCTACTTTTTCACAGCTGCCACACACATGGATTACACTTTCATTGAACTGTCCACCTCAGCCCCAAGGTTGGCTTTTTTGCTCCGCTGTGCTTGAACAACATCCACCAAAGAATGGCTCATTCATTCAATTTGGAGAATTGTCTTTTTGTCTTTCACTACCCTGCATAACTTAGCCTTGCCCACAAACCTAACGATGATAATTTATGAACGAGCTAGAAGCAGCGGTCCTAATACATACCCATCTCATATGATTATAATAATCTCATTACAAAGTCCTTATGTGCCTATCCAAAAACAGTTTTCTTCTGAAAGATTAGGCACTGCACTCTTGCTGCAAGGATGCAATCTTATGTACCCATTTAGCTGGGAATGAGCCTCATCAGGGTGTCTGCAGGTACAGTCATAAAAGTCATCCAAGATGGTGGACACGAGGGTGTGACTGAAGCCCTGCTTTTTATTCATGCGTGTTGCGCATAAAAAATGTGGCCGCCATCTTGACTTTTTTTGACTCTGCAGACAGCCCTACACCTCGTTAAATTCAGCAAGGATTCCTTCTGAGTAGACATTATAGGAATGCGTGGTCAACATGATATGTAACTCAGTCCCCAGTACACTACACAGTAACTCAGACTGCGTGTTCTATAATACATACCTTTAAGACAAAACAGTAGTCTGTAGGAGACTTATACTTCATTTTGTACTGAATGCCATAATAAACATTTACATTCTCAAACTGTATGAAGCAAGCCAAGTCTCGGGATGTCTAAAAATGAAAAATGCAGTCTGTAGTTATTAGAACAATTATCTATTTCTTCAAAAGAAGGCAGCCTCTTCCACGTTGATGCCGTGGATAACTTTTAATCCACTTATTGATCAGAACACGAATAACAATGCAATTTTCGTAACATAACGTAAGTTTAGAAATGGTGGAGATGTGGACCATTACTTCTCTGAGGATTTGAAGCAAATGATTCACTCTACATTTGCAAAAACAAACCCACAAGAAACATTACATTTCTGTTCAGAGGAAAGTGCATGAGATCCATAGCCATTTTCTTAAAAAAAAAAAAAAAAAGACTTTTCATTAGTGCATGCTGAAAGTTTATTCGTACATAGGTGAAAACTTCATCTGTCATTCTGTGCACTCCTGCCATCTCCAACAGAGTTTCTACTATCACAAAATGCACATTGCCTGTTCTTAATGGGTTGCCACGGCAACAAAGTTTCCCAGTGAAGCATCTGCGGATGAAGTACCGACATGAATGGAAATACAACAGGGACTTCAATTTCTCCTGGTTCACGTAGATGCTGTTGGGTTTTTTTTTAACTAATAGAAGCTTTTGCAGAACTTAGCCAACAATAGAAGCTGAGAAAGGAATGTTCTCTGCGCAAATATCTTTAAAAAGAGAAACAGAGAACCCCTCTGCCTTAGTACTTTCAAATGCAGAACTGCAGGGGTGTCCACAGGGCAGTCAAAAAAATCAAGATGGGAGCCACAACCAAAAAAAGAGTGTGGCTGTGGCCCCCATCTTGACTTGTTTGACCTCCCTCCCTGCAGACACCCCTGCCACTGTATGGTCTAGGCCCAGAAAAAAATCATTCAGGCAAAATTTGCATATATGCCAATGGATTCCAGAATGTTTCCCAGAAGGATCTCGAGAAAAGAAGCTATCAGAGCAACGTGTTAATTTTCTCCTTAGCCTTGCCCAAACAATGGTGGCTTCCTTCTGTTTGCAGTTTGCCATGCAAAGCTAGTCCATTTTATACTATTTTATTTCCTTAAACATAGGCAAAAAATGATTACGTTATTTTGCTGTGGATGACCAACTGCGGTTCAGAGACGCTATTTCTCTTCATGACTTCATCACGAATGCAATTTATTATTACTGAAAAACAGAAGTGTAGTCTATAGGGCAGTGTTGTCCAAACTTGGCCACTTTAAGAGGAGCGGACTTCAACTCCCAGAATTCCCCCCCCCCCCCCGCCCGGCCGGGGGGTGTTTGGGGGTGGAGGCCCCCCCCCCTTAAATATCACAATTTGGGAAAACACCCTCCTTGGGGGGAGGCGGCCCC